AACCCACGAGTCAAATTCGAGTCGTCTCTTGCATGTGTTTGGCGAGGTGGGTGTACTCTATGGCCCGCTCACGTTTGAAGCAGTCGGTCGCTTACGACCGTACTTTGTTGATTGTGAAAAGCGAGTATGAGTCGTTGCCATCATGTCTGCACATCGCCTGTACGGCCAAAATCTGCAGCGGCGGACCCAGGGCCAGAGTTCGTATGACAACCACGTTCACCCAGCACTCCTAGCGGCCGTCGAAACAAACGTCTAGACAGCACGATGTGGAATCTCTTTATCGGTACGTCATCCGCGGCATGGATGGTCGTGATTCTTCGTGCAGCCTGCGAACATGGTCCAAGCAGCGTTGTCTACCTAAGGTGGTGTGGGCTTTACCATCACAGCGAGGTACTAAGTCGCGGACAACAGCCCGACGGCAACGTCTACGCGCTCCGACTTGGTCGTGATTCTTACTCTTCGAGTGTAAGGACATCTGAAGCAGCTAGCAGGATTCGCCTTGGTTGGGTTCTCGATCGGGTACCGATCTCGTGAATCCGTTCTTATGTCAACTTAAGTTGGGCCATGTTTGACACGCGGAGTTTGCAATCATTGTCGCCGCGTTGTCGGGCACCCAGTCGTTGAGCTGCCGCAGCATCTCATGCTCTTATCCCCCTGCATCCCCTGGACGTTCCGCCAGCGTCTTTGCGTGCCACGTTGAGTTGGCTTGCCCGCTCGCGCATCGATGGTCTCGTCACGGCCGTGGTGCACCGACGACATAAGACAAGTTTGGAATAGAAAGTGGCTCGAATGGGTGGCGCCCCTTCGGCCAAGTCGTCGTGAGCATCGCCTGAACGAACAGACCGACGTAAACGTTTGTTGTGCCCATCGACACAATAAAGAGTACTTGTACTTCAACTGGGTTTACGTCAGGTCGTAGGAAGTTGTATTGCACGCCCTTGTAGATCCTGCACGACGCATACCACAAATTGCGCATCACCATGCGTACGCCGGCGACGGAGTAGAACGTTAGGGCGAAGAGGCCGCTGCGCGATTTGCTCACCGCTGAACATCTCGTCATGCCATGCATGTGGACATGACCACCTCGATGCGGGATCTATCGCACGGAAATAAAAAGGTTGATACGCCGTGTAGCTAAGGCGCCGATGAGCTCAACAGGGTGGGGGACGTCTCACGACAACGTAACGTACCGGCAATTGGGTCGCTCCCTGATTGAAGTGCACGGGAAGCTTGCAAACATCCTAAAGTTTTGCCATCACCCTGCTGCATTGTTCAAAGTGCCGTCGGCTCTTCCTCGACAACTCGGACGTTGTCAACTCCACCGCGTTCGTGTTGGTTGTCGTAATTGTTTGGAAATGGACCAATCAAACGCGTTTATTTCTTGTATATGCTTTTATTGGATTAAATATAGCCAATCAAATACAATCATTCGAATCCACCGACCCACGCTGAACATTCCAGCCGCTTATCCATCGACGCCGGTGGTAAACAGACGATGAAGAGGTCCCTCTACGCCTTTGCGGCTCTGCTGCTGCTCCCTTTCATCACAGTATGGTCGTGCATGAGCTGGCTGCTCGGGCAGTCGGGACGGTTCGCTGGCCTGGTGTCGCTTCTCGCAGTGGTAACCCTTGCCGGAATTTGCATTTTCCACGAGAACATCATGATCTACGACCTTCCTGCCGCGTTTGCGGTCGCGCTGGTGCTGCTGCTCACGACTCTTCCAAAATCCTTCCTCTTCCACGGGACGCTTGTGGTGGCGTTCGTGTCGTACGCAATTACGCGCCATCGACTAAGCTTTGCAAGCTCCTCTACTCCAACCTTGGGTGCGCACTGACGATTCGCTTGTCATCACATCAACCCACGTCGTAGCCATAGATGCGCTCATCGTCTGTAGTTGCGTCGGTGTCGCGTGGACCTTTGCATGTGCGCAGTCCCTCTGGATTCCTGCAAATGAAGCAGACCTCCATCAATCCGAGGCCGCCGTATACAAAGCGACTCTGAAAACGGCCCCGTACCACATGAAGGTCGTCGCGGGCCTCGGTACAGTGCACGTTCCCTACACAGGCGTTCGTGACTTGTCGTCGCCACCATTGAATGTCGTGTTGGTGCATGGATTTGCTGGAGGCAATGCGCTGTGGGCCGCGGTACCTTTCTCCTCCACAGCACACTATCTTTCACAAAACTGCTTCGTAGAGTTTGGCTCCGTTGGCCCAGCACTTCCATGTCGTACGTGTGTGTTAGCTTACCCTTCCATGAACGTCTGTGTGGCTGGTAGTTTGCAGTCGAATGGCTCGGAGTGGGGCGGTCGCACCGCCCGCGCACGTCGTTCAAGTCGGTACGTAAACGCGTGGAAAGATTTTGACGAAATGTGACTTTATATCCGTGGAATTTTGCGTGACATTCTGCTCAAACTGGCCAATGTAGTACGAAGAAGCGGACGCATTTTTTGTCCAAAGCCTGGAGCTATGGCGTAGTGCGATGCAGTTGGATTCCATCGTCCTGTGCGGCCACTCCATGGGGGTACGGGCTGGTTTACATCGCTTCACGGCATAGTCACGGGAAGGCATGGATGGCCAGGGCATGTTTGCCACGCACTACGCGCTGTTGTATCCCCAACGCATTCAGGTACGCATTGATGGAGCGTTGGGAAGCGGAGTAGCGATGAAAACTTCTCACGACGGTTCAGCAACTCGTGCTCATCTCGCCTTGCGGACTGCCCGACGTCGAACACGACCCGCACTGGCTCATCGACTGGCTTTGGAAGCTTCAGCTTACACCTATGGTACGCGCTCCCGGCCGTTGATTGCTCTGGAGGCGGACGACAGCTAAAGGACAGATCAGGATCTCGTGCGGAATGCCGGGCCGTTTGGCCCGCGCCTCATGCGATTCATTTTAACTGCGCGCCTGTCGCGTCAACCCGAATCGAACGCGATCAAGCGCGGCGTTCTCGACATGGAGCTCATGGTCAAATACAACTACCACAACTGGGCGGGGAAGCGATCGGGCGAAGTTGCCATGTATACGCATTTGTTGCCAGTATGTCACGATGACAGACGTGGATACCATCACTTGACATGATGACGTAGCGCGCGTACGCCAAGCGCCCGCTGAAGCACATGCTCGTGCCGTCAAGACTCCAAATGCCGATTTCGTTCATGTAATGCCGTGTTGGGCTTGCAGCGGTGGAATGGATTTGACACGCGTGTAGCTACGGAGAAGATGGGAACGACTGGATGAACTCAAGCCATGCTGCCAAGGTATGAGCACAACGTGACAGCTGGAGGTTGTCTAACGAAGGCAAACGTCGTTAGGTGATTCCTGGCCTGACGCAGCACACGGTGCTGCATAAAGTGCCGTCCGCGGGCCATCAAGTGTTCATGGACAACCCCGAAGGATTCAACGAAGCGCTCATATCATCGATTCATGCGGCCGCGAAAGCTTCGTTCAAGGAGTAACATGTGTATCAACGCATTGCTGCGATGAGGCGTGCATTGAAGCAATTGGATGCCAATCGCGCCCAGCCTCCGCCGCGTTCCGTGGCGGGAAGATGCTCGTTTCATGTTCCCGCGACTAACGCAAACTGCAAAATTCGACGACCGGATAAACTCCACCAAAAGGATCCGGATACCGACCTAGCTTGATGTCAGAGTGCGGCTTGAGCCCGACGCGCAGGGCACCAGCAAGGCATCGGCGCGCATCTGGTTGCATGGGGCTCACAAACTATTTCACCTGTACCATCGACAGCTGCACCGATTCGAGTATCGCGAAAGCCACAATGAATTGTCATGTCGGCGCTTATGAGACGACAAGAGCAGCGACTTTCGTTCGAGGTTCATACTCCCACGACCACCAACGTACTCCTCACCTTCGAGAGAGCCGCAGCCCACGGCCAGTTGGACGCTGCCAAGTACATGCATGACTTGCTGCGTCTACCATTCAATGGACGTAGCGGCAAGGATCGGACACTGGACGTGGTTGAGTTACTCCACGCGAACTGCATACACGAATGCAGGACGGTCATCATGGGCGTAGCCGCAGGGGATGGTCGTTCGGATATCGTGCGATGGCTGTATGTAAATCGAACGGAAGAATGGTCGTGGAAAGCGCAAGCGAGAGTTACGCGAAGACAACGTCGACGTCGTCGGCGTTGCCACCGTTCCATGGAGGCGTGTGGACTGAAGCATCGACATGCACCAGCCATACAACAAGTGCAGTGGAGCGACGTGATGAGAACTGATAGGGGGCGGCTTCCGAGAAGGAATTGAAAGCGTCTGTCCAATATGCGCATGTAGCGTATGCTAATCAGGCCCGCGTGAGCGGAAGCTCGAGTCTCAGTTCACCTACCTTCGCCAACACCAAATTGCGTAAACCACCAATTGGATTCTTTTCATTGGCTGTAATAGAGTCTATTTCGCGATCGGATTGGTGGATGGTTGACATTTTCGGATTGGTTGATGTTGACATTGAGCAATAATGTGGCGAGGAGTCCATCGGCGGGCCGTGTCGACGTTCTCGATCCAGGCGCGGCTCCAGGCCGGCCTTCTTGGCGGTCATGCAGACTTCACTGAGAAGACGACGTTCTTCCGGCGATCCCACCAACCTAATGTTGACTACCAGGTTCGTTGCATGATGGAATTGTCACTGTGCGTGACCTGCGCAATCGGATAGACGAGCGCCGTGATGAGCTTGGGGCTCCCAAAAAACACAGTGCTGTCCACGGCGCAATCCGTTGCTCAAACGTACGGCGAACAGCACGAATGGATCGCATCTGCATCTGCAGCCAAGCCAGGTACATGCTCCTATGTGTAGATGCTGACGCATGAATACTCACTCAAGGCACTCGCCCAGGCTTTATAAATGTCAAGCTCAAGGACGACTGGATCGCCGAACATACCGTGCATGTCGCCACACGCGGCGTGCAACCCCGCCGCCAGGACCGTCCTGAGAATGTGCTGGTCGATTTTGCATCGCCCAACATGGGCAAAGGTAGCAGCCGTGTCGTGCGTCTGCACAGTCCGTAACGCGATGGGGGTGGTTCTCCATAGAACTGCACGTGGGCCATTTACGGTCGAGCGTTCTCGGCGACACCATCAGCAACCTGCTCGAATTTCAAGGTGAGGTCGCCGCCTTTCGGCCGGTTGTGTGACGAGTGGCGTGCACAGAACGACTGCAAACGATTCAACATCCCCTTGGCAACTCACGCATTGTGCACAGGGCATGCGGTGTCGCGCATCAGCCACGTCGGTGACTTGGGGGCAGCAATTGCAACGCTAATTGTGCAAGCGTTGGACATTCAAGACAATGCGACGCATGGATTGCCGCGGACATTTGACGAAACCACAACCGTTTCTACACTTGGTCAATGGTAGTTGTTTGGGAAGTCCATGCTTTCGAACGTTTGCCGACACTCGACGCAGGTACGAGCGCGGCAAACATCGCTTGGGCAGCAGCGACGTCGCGTTCAAAGCTGCGGTACGTTGTGGCGACGGCTGCTGTAAAGGGACCGAACGCGTTCGTGAGCTAGACCGTTGTTGCTAATGGTGTGAATAGGTGGACGAGACGGTCCTCGGGCTTCAGCGACAGGACCCCAAGTGGCAACATCCATGGGAGCTCACGTGCTCCATCAGTCGCGCGGCCCATCAAAGTTTGTACCAGCGCTTGCGAGTCAAGGTAAAATGTCCCCCATTCATTGTTGGCGGTTTGTGTGGTCATGCGTGACCTGTACGTAGGTGCACGAACGCGGCGAAGCCACATACATATCGATGATCCCAACCGTCTTGAGCAAGCTCCGTGCGATCGCTTCAGAGTCCCAAGGTACACAGCACACTGCCAAAAGGCGCGTCGTCTGCAAAATCACGCGATTGCGATCGTGTAGGCGCGCTGTGTATCTTTGTCGACGGCCCTGACAAGTCGCCCATGCTGGTGCGTAAACAGGACGGCGGTAAGCACCTTCTCGAACTGTTTTTGTAGTTGGGGGCGCATATCGTCCAGAATCCTCTCGGACACTTGCTTCCCTCTCCATGAGTTTCACCTGATGTCAACGTAGGGTTTTTGTACGCCACCACGGACCTCGCTGCGCTGTATTCCCGAGTGTTTGGGTGGGCTACAGACCCCATCGCATACGATCGGCTCATCTACGTGACCGATTTAAGCCAGAGTTTGCACTTTCGCCACTTGTTCGAGGCGGCCAAATTGGCAGGGTTCGATGAACCGCCATGACCTCCCACCATGCCTTTTCTCTCATCATGCTCGGTCGTGTAGGTGGCTCGCAGACCGCCCCGTCAAGCTGGAGCATGCTGGCTTTGGCCTCGTCATGGGCGAAGACGGCACCAAGTTGAGTTCTCGTAAAGGTGAGCACGCCATTATTCGGCAATCCCTCTGCTGAGCTCGTCTGATCTGGGTAGGTGGGGCAACAACGCTGGGCGAGTTGTTGGACCAAGCCGCGTTGGAATCCCAGGCGCGGTCGGTCGTCCCCAATGCAGACCACCGCGCGATTGGAGATGCCGCGGTAAGTTAAAGTCGCGTCGGTTTTCAGTCTCACGAATGCATATTCAAGACCTAACGCAGCTACGTGTGTCTGCTGGCGTGGTAGGTGCGGTACTATGAGTTGGCACAACATCGCGAGCGCAACTACAAGTTTTCGTTTGCCAACGTATTGAATTTAAAAGGCAACACGGCGCCGTACTTGATGTATGCGATGGCCCGCCTCCAGGTATGAACTTGCACCACATGCTTGAGCACGCAGCCACATCGCCGATGCGCGCCTGCAACTGTCATGCGCGTGCATCATGTAGGGGATCCTGCGCAAGGCCGACCTGCCCCACGCAGCATCATGGGCCGATTACTTGGCTCAGCATGCTGACGCAACAACGGAGCTGCAGCGTACGAATTCGCCACGACTCGATTGACTTACGTACCAACGAACCCTAGATGCGTCAAGCACGTGGCACCCCAACGAGCGGGCGCTGGCACTCGTACTTGGGCAGTTCGAAGACGCCTTGATTGACACCCAAACCCACTGGTCGGTCCTTGCAAAAGATATCGATGTCGCCTACCATGAACGTCTGGCTGCATCCCGCTGATGATGACAGTCCACGCCTCCATCTCACGTGCTGACATTAGGCACCCGCACCTCCTCGCCGACTACTTGTTTCGCGTCGTGACAGCGTTCCACTCGTTCTACGAGACATGCCTCGTTCAAGCAAACCCGTCGCGGCTCATCTTGTGCGCTGCCACCGACGCTGTCCTTCGCCGTGGCCTGCACCTGCTAGGCATTCCATCCGTCGACCGCATGTAGCCACATGCAACACGGTCACTTGCCAAACCAAATCGAGTCTAGACCGAAGAAAAGGACCAACAAAGTTGTGTGTCTGCTTTCCTTTGTGGATGTCAACCATCCAGGACATACTTGTGACTCGCCCTCCAGCGACTGAACCCGGGAAGGCACGAGGTTGGTCGCGACAACAGATCCCAGTGGTCTTGCCGTGATGTGGGATGCAGAGCGGCGTGTGCACTTCAAGCGACACCTGGCACGTCTCGACACCTCCCGGACAGCTCTCGGCCACATCCCGCCAACAATAGAACCGCGTTGAAGAGACTTAACAACGTCCTTACTTCCACACGGTGTGGTCGATGCTGTCTTCGTGCAAAAAGTCGTCTTCGGTCAACAAGGTCGACATCCCGTACTTGTCCATGTATTCGTCTTCAGACAGGTGGCCGTACAGGCGATGCTTGTCGTTCACCATGTTTTCCCAATGGTCTTCAAGCGCGAGCATCTTTCGCGTCTCGGCCGTCATAAAGTGAACCACGATGTTGTTGACGTCGGCAATCATCCAGTCGTCGCAGTCGCGGCCTTCGACGACGTACCCAAAGTCGTCGTCCATGTTGCGCGCTTTCATCTAGACGACATGTGCCATGACGAATCCCGCCGACATGGACAGAGAACTCGCTTACCGACAGGATCACCATGTCTGCCATCCGACGCATGTGGTTCCGTGATCGCCCCGTGCAAAACACCATGTGCGACGCCAAGCTCGACTTGCCGGCCAAATCGATCGTGTACACGTCGATCGCCTGCTCACGTTCGAGGGCTGGCAAGAGTTCGTCCATGGTCAAGTACGTCCTACATCGCCGTTAGCTTGCGCATCGTCTGTCTCTCCGCATCAAGTCGTCTTTTGTACTTTGGGATGGGCGGAATTATGTCAGCATGGCGAGAACCGGCGTCCGGCAGCGTCCAGTCGTGCGAAGTCGCGGCATGCGGCACTGTCGATGCGAGGTTGTACGAGGCGTCCTCGTCGTCGTCATGTTGGCCGTCGGGGAAGTTCAGAGGGGCGCCGGGCTCCAAGTACATGCGGACGAGCTCGTCGTAGCCCTTGGCGGCATCTTCTTCCGTCCAAAATTGACCAGCGTCCACTTCGATGTTGCCCACCGTAACGCTGGCACTCCACTTTTTGATGCGCGAGGTGTGAAAGGTCACGCCAGTGTAGGACTCAGACGGCACACCTTCGTCTTCTTCTGCGTCTTCGTCATCTCCTTCGTCCGTCATCTGCTTCTCTGCAGTGCAGTCTTCGTCGTGCTCGTTGTTATCCTTGGTGACTTCATCGTTGTGGTCGCTATCAATGACTTTGAGGACACTGCGAGAAGTGTGAAAGGCCATCGAGCGAGTGCCAAAGCTGACGACGCCGCGAGCCATGTGTTGAACTGAGACTGCGTTGATACCCATGGACGCACGCAAGACGCGCTTGGAGGAAGGCCGCACCGCCGCCGCCACGGCAGAGATGTGCTTGAGGCGAGAAACCAGCATCGTCTCGGTTGTGAATTGACAATGGTTCATTGGTGTGGGCAATTTGGTAGGATGGTATCCGGATATTCCGGTTAATGCGTTCATTTCGGACAAAATACTGATCAAGAAAATGCAGTCGAATTAGCTCCGAAAGATCCTTCTGTAGAGGGAAAGTTGATCGCTGCACACACGCGACGACCCAAGAGGCAGTAGCTGCCGCTCCACTGTCGGTGTGCGATCCATGCCCGGATCCTCGATGCGGCCAACGGCGCCGCCATCATTGAGCATCCAGGTACACGGCAGCTCATTTGTGTTTGACCCGTCACCGCATGGAGTGACGATTGGTGCCCACGAGACAAGCCATCTACGATTCCTCCAGGACCCAGAGGTAAGTGCGTCAGCGCACTTCCACACCTTCCGCAGCGATGCATAGGTCGCGCGCCACCACGGGACGCTGGAGCATACACTCGTTCATGGTCATTGGATCTACGTCGACCATAGCACGACGGGCTCCATTATCAACCACACCCAGGTTGTTCTGAACGATGCCGCGATTGTCCATGACGGGGATCATTTTCTCGTGGGTCGCACGCCTTTCGTCGTGCATTTTCACACTCCCGCGAAACATTCGTCACCGATACGGCACATGCCTTCGACCCCACCCGCTCGCCATCTCGTGCGCAAGACGTCTGTACCGATGCTCTTGCCAACCTACACAAACTCGCCCATTCCAAAGCACAAACAGCAACAGTACGATCAGCATCTTCACCAAGGTGCATCACCGCCCGCAAAAGCCACGGGAGCTTATCCGTTTGACGTAACACCGCAGTCGACGCCTCCGAATTCGTCGACGTTTTTGGATGGGTATCACGCCACCCCCCTCGTACGTTGCAATCCCTCGAACTAGAGATAGATTTCTTCGTAAGCAAGTGTTGTGACGAAATATGTAGACGCCGCCACCACAGCGAGACAACTTGCGCATACAAATCTCCAAGAAAATGGCAAACCGCATCATCCACATGCCGCTGTCGCAACGGAATGACTCGACGATCCGACCAGAGGCAGTCATGTCTCCCGTGCCACAATCCGAACTTCGACATCGCCAACAGCGGCTGCAACAGGAGCTGGCACGAAAAACCACCGAAGACGCGTGGCTGCACGAGCAGCAGCATGCGTTTCGTTTGCAGGCAGCCCCGTCATCGATGTCTACCTCCATGACAGAGCACTTGACATCGGCCCGCCGCAAGAGCTTTACGCTTGATCTGGTCGATCCACAGAACAGGTGCGTCGACAAAGCGCATGGCAGACGAAGGTCAAAAAATCGATTTCGTGAACCAGGCGCCACGTCGTTCAGCCGCCGCCGCGACAAGCTGAGCACCAACGCCAAGAAGATGTCGACGCAACGTCGAGTGTCACCAGCAGCGTGCCTACGGAGCTTGCTCGATATCGAGACTCGGTGCGTGCAGCCAATCCTTCAGGGATTCGCGCTTCATTCTCGATTCATCTAGGTCGACCTCTCGTCGTCGTCGTCCGATGGAGAAGTTGAGGGCGAAGACAGCGTGGTAACAATGTCCACGACACCCCCAACGAATTGTCGGTCGCTGGATGTGTCGCATCTCCGGCAATCGTTTGACGCGCTGCTCAACACGTCGCCGTCGACGTGGCGGCCAAACCCGCCCCCCGATGACGACCACCGCAGCGGTGGCATGCGGCTCAAGCGCGCGCACTTGATCAAGACAGCCCCGATGACGAGACCATCGCCGTTTATGCTGGCCACCACGGCACTGCACTCCCCATACAAGACGGCTAAGCACGTGAACGCGTTTATGGAGGCAGCCGTGTCGAGTCCAACTCATTTTGACTACGCTACGTCGTAACACGTCATCGACTACGTACTGCACCAACCCGCGCTTGTCGTTCCTGCTAAAAATCGTGTGAATTTTTTGATTGGTCAGAATGTATTACGAATATAATTTGATTGGATAATGTTTTCTCTACTGCAGTAGCTATTCTCGTGCTCTATTAATTGTTGTTTCTACACAATTCAGTCCACAACGACGGCCGCCACACCCAAGTCGATGTCGCGCGCAACAATTATCAATTCATGCAATGTTTCCTCGACGCCTGGACCTGTTTGCCATGCTACAGAATCGACTTGTTTATGCACGACGACGTCGCCTTCGTCGCTCCTGCCATGCTGTCCCCCACTGAAGAAGATGTATAGCCTTCCCCTTCGTCTTTCGATGATGGCATCCACGAGAGTCCATCAACTCGGAGGTAATTCTACGCTCACAAAGAGTGTTTATCCAAGAAACTCTTTCATGCCTGGATCGTCCTTCCGCATGCGTCGCGGCTCCCTTCCATATTCTCACCGAACAACGCTGGCCATCGCGACAACTTCTTGGTTCTGGGATCGTCCTTCCTCACCTAAAGACAATTCGTCGGGTCCTGGAAGCATCCGCGCGCTCTGTTCTACCGCTTCACCCCAGCTTCGTCCTTCCTACGTCGTCCCACAACTCCCTCACCGGAACGTCGGACATTGCGCGGTGTCGTTACGCCGACATCTCGCCACGTGTGACGCGCCGACCAATCCCACCAAAATCAATTCATAGCACGAATTTGATTGGTGGAAGCCACACGCACGCAGCAGCGGAATTGTCTGTGCATACAATTAGGTTGATTAAATCAGCATCGATATTCAATGTGTTTCATCTGGGCTCCTGCAACAGCTCCAATTTTTGGGAATCGTTAGTATTACTACATGTAACCCCGGCTTGTACAAAGAAACGCTTCAAATACCCGGTATTTGATACGTAAGACCCGGTATATATTCTTAGAATAGTACATACTATAACGAGAAAACTCGTTCCAGGCTGTAAAATCACCAACGACATCGACCACTGGCTTCTGGCACCGGCGGCGTGCGTCATTCTCGATTCCGCGGTGCTTGTGTCCGTCGCGAAACAAGGTGTTGATCATACCTGCGTCGTTCTGCTCCACCGACGCATTCCGCCGCACAGACATGCAAATGACTGGACAACACTCCGCAGAGTGCCCAAGACCGGCGCTGAGAAAACCATCGTTGGAGAAGGGAATTCAACAACCCACAACGTATTCCCAGCAATGGGAAATCGAAGACTGCTCTGTCCCCCTGGTGACTCCAATTCCTCGACGCGAGCGACGACAGAGTGTCGAGTTGGTTTACAGCGATGTCGTCGATCACAAGTTAACGGAGCAACCAGGAGCAATCGCCCGAAGCCCGAAGAAAGGGACTTGCGTGGTGCAAACGCGATGTACCGATCGACAAAAGCTCTGTCTGTGCGAAGTCAAGCGCCATCGATCCCTTTCGTCGTGCTGGCTCGTCGCGAATGGCATTGTGTACGACGTGACAAACGTGATTCAGCAACACCCAGCTGGCACCAAGTGCATACTGCGCAAAGCTGGAGGCGTCGATTGTACCCAAGATCTACGCTTTCATTCCAAGGAAGCGCAGCAATGTTGGAAGCAGTGTGCAGTCGGGAAGCTCCTTCCGTGTGGCGACGACGACGGCAGCACTTCCCAAGACTCGTGTACCATCATGTAGCGACCCTCTTCACGCCGATTCCCCCTCTATTTAAGCGCAGCCGACGCGATTTCTTCGTCTTGTACCATAAACGATCAATACATTCCACTTCCGTGCCCCTTTTTGACGTCCGACGGAAAATCCTGCAACCATGGCGGCAAGTGATACCCGAAAATGTCGTGATCGAATGGCTTCACCCTCATTTGACGTAAACATACGCAATGTTTGACATCCACGGTGGAACGAAAGGGTCACGTGGAAGAATGGGCGACGCGCACGCATGCGAGAAGAACGGAGGAAGCGAAGGCACTTGATGTTCTCGTCTATCTTACGACGTAAACTGCTTCATGAACTCGGTCGCCACGACACGGCCACGGGCATTCAAGTTGATCTTCATTTCGCTGATTTCCTTGTCGATGTCTTCCATGAACTGAATGATAAAGTCGACCAGTTTGTGCTTGTACAGGTTCTCGAGATGCGTGTGGACGATGAGGAAACTGATCGAGTAGCCCTACAAAGCGCCGTGAGACGAACTGGAACGCGGGCTAAGTTACCTCGATGGGCTTGCGACGCATGATAATAAATTGCTCGGCGCGCTGCATCAAGAAGCGGCTAAACTTGTGGCACAAGATGGTCTCGATTTCGTCAGCTTGCTTGATGCAAATGGACACACGCGTGGAGTTGATGCTCGGTTCGATGCAGCACCTTTCGTTTTCATTTCGGCAGATCACCACTGGGTTCAGCAAAAGTTCGCGGCTAAGCCCGACCTCGACTTCAGGCTTGTTGTGTCGTTCGACCACTTGAGAGGGAAAGTTCTGCAGACACAGCGCGCCATCCAACGTCGACCGAATCGCATTCAAGTAAGGGGCAAGGGTGTTCGCCTAATCGTATATGGCATGCGTCTCTTCGTAAACGATCTGCATCGACGACTCCATCGCACATACCATGATGCTGTCTCGCTCGTTGCTTGCCACGGCGCGGGTCAAAAAACCTTGTTGCGTCCCCAGATCGCAATCGACTACCTCTATGAATTAATACCCCAGTGCATATTCAGTCTTGCAGTCCACCTCGTTCAAAGGACCGAGCAATATCGCGCTTGTTGGCAGTAAATTGATTGATTTCGTCATGACAACCCATGGTGAATGAAGCCATACGAGAGACGGCACACGAGTGGACCACGCGCGCCAGCGACGCCATGTCACGCGCAACTCAAATGCGCCCATGACAGGTTTCAGCGCTCGTCGCACTACTGCGAAGCAAACGCTGTTCTGGGCGTGTTCAGATTGGCATTTGACGCTGCAGAGTTGGCAAAAGCTGTGTTGACACACTCCTGCTTTGCTGACGTGCACAACGGCATGCGAGGGGGGGGGCACACAACGGCTCATGCGCCGTGACAAGTCCCAACTTCGTACGTTGCATACGATTACATGTTTCCGACGTATGGACATCGTGGCGATGACGAGAGCCGGCTTAGGGAGTGTTGCGAGCGACCAAAGCCTCGAGTTTTGCAGGATCAGCCCCGACAAGTTCGTCAACCTTCTTTCCGTTCTTGTACACCTGGAAGGTGGGCATCGCGCGCACTCCGCACTGCGACATGACATCCTAGATTTGCACGGGCATGAGAACACGGCGTGACCAATCGGATGGGGTTGCAACAGGGACGTACATCCAACTCGTCCACATCCACCTTGACGAATGCGGCTTCGGGAACTTTGCCACTCAGTTCGGCGAAGAAAGGGGCAATCTTCTTGCACGGGCCACACCACGTTGCAGTAAAATCAACCACGAGCTGCGCCACGGATAGTGTTCAGGCCCACGACCAGCTCCGCCGTTCAAGAAGCTTTACCGGTTTCGAGTCACTGGACAAAGCCAGTTGTTGCTTCCACTCGTCCGTCGAGTGTATCGTAATCACGTTAGATGGTCCCGCTTTACGCTGACGAAGGTTCGTGGACGCTTGCTCCGAAGTCGCCGCGCTGGTTGCCGACATGCCTTCGTTCTTCTTGTCGTCCGGCTTTCCCGTGATCCAGGCCCAAGCTTTCGACAGGAACATCAAGAGAAAGGGAAGAAGGGAGTAGATCGGAATGCATATCGGCCCAATACAGATCTACCGCGAACGCTCAGCTCCACGTCAAGACGCATGGAATCCCCTACCGTCGTCATATCCCCACAACACGGAAGCATACAAATGCTTCTCCAACGTATCCGGCATATCCGGTTAATGTAATCGTCGACGGCTGCCTGGCATGAGGCGATCTTCAGAAGAGAATCAAGGCGGATGCACTTGTGTGTGGCTCAAAAGCATGCTGACGTCGGGCTTGTCGTTTGGCAGCATGAGGCATGTCCGTGGCATACATTCACAGCGCTCGAGGACGAGGAGATCTCAATTCGGGTGAGGGATCAAAACGTTCTGAGGGATCGAGGGGTCTGCAAACTTTGAAAGTCGCCGACCGAGGCGTTCGCTGCCATGCGTGATTAGTCTACTGCCGTGGCAACAGAGAAAGGGCCCGGCGTATCCTTGAGATTTTAAATGTTGTGCGAAGAGATGTGCGAGAGTCGCCCCGCTCGACGGGATCGGTCCAACCAGCCCCAATTGGTTCTAAACGCCACACTTCCAAAGTAGAGGTAGACAGTTGTCTTTCCTTCTCGTTGTGTAACGTCGCGGGCTGCCGGCCAAAGCCCCCACGGACTTGTCCGCTGCAGGAAAGTGATCCATGTCAAAACTCTCCGTGTTCTGGCTCGAGGTCGTGGCGCTGGTTGTCCCATCGACCTTCACTCAACGGTCATACTTGCGCACCCTCCGTCGCAACGATATAACGCTGAAGTGGGCTGACGGCGGCCAACGAAGGCTGCATCTTCATGGATGAATTCCTTATTCCTCCACGGTGCGGAGGCTTCAATCGAGACATGTGCCTGGGGCACGCCAATCGACAAATGCGTCAGGTTTGTCGACGCCATCAAGTACACAGACTGCGCAAATTCATGTCGAAACGCTTGTGGGAAATGCTATCGCGAGAAAAACGGGGCACATGTCACCTTTCGCCGCAACGTGAGGCGGACAAGGTAGTAAGCCCCAGCGCCGCGGGCGGCGTTGTGAGTTCCTGCACATCCATCACTTGATACCACCAGAGCCGATCCGTCGACTTCGACTCGGCACAATATTTGTACAGTCGATGGTAGAATGCGCAAAGACCTATTAACCTGTCAGGACCATCGTGGTAGGGGTCGGGCCTGCAGGACGATGCGCAGCCGTTCGAGCCACACGAGAGTTCGGCAACGAACGACGCCAACATTGTGGCCGCCTTGGTCAATGACGGTCCTCGACTGAATGAAGGTGGCGGACTCGTCCTGCAAACCCTCTTCACTTCTGAACAAGACCCCACCATGGCACCGCAAGGTCAATCAGCATCGACGTGGGGAGCAGCCGTGGCCAGCGAAAAGGACGAGATTGATCTGTTCTTGGTCTGCGATACGACGGGGTCATGGGGACGTACCTGCCTGCACTCAAGGCATCGTTGCGGCAAGTGTTCGTCGTGGCCAAGCTGCTCTTCCACGGCCGGCTCATGGTGCACATTGTGTCGTACAAGGATTACTGCGACGGCGACAACTTGCTGACCACGGTGAGCCGCCGCAGCGGCCGCAACGATGCGATCGTAAAGTTCGTCGATACGTTGGAGGCGACGGGGGGCGGCGACAACCCTGAAGCCGTCAAAACGGCGTTGAACCATGTCATCCAGACTGTGGACGAAATCCGCGCGGCGGGGGCGCCAACGTCGCGGGCGCTCGTGTTTCTGTACACGGACGCGCCGCCCCACCACGCCATGACCCAGTCGAGCAACATGACCAAGGAAATCCGCGCCATCGAGAGCAACCCCAAGTATCGTGGGGGCCACGATTGGTTTCAGATTCAGCGGACGCTGCGCACCCTTGACGTCCCGGTGTATACATTCCACTCGCCCGTCACGACGTACCACAGCCGACGCGTTGTGAAGAAGCAATCGCCATCGTTCTACGCAGTACTTGGGCCGACTGTGATCCTACCTGCCCTCACCAGCGACGTGATCACGGAGGCGTCGATGGGAGTGCTCCTGCAGCTCATGGGGCAGGCCTTTACCCCAACAACGAAAGGCGCGTCCGACTTTGCCGTGTCGACGTTCCAGTTGAACGGCCAGAACTTTGATCCTACATACGATGCCGCCGACGAAAGCGACATGCCCTGCGACTCTCTTCTCACACTTGTCAACGAACCGTTCGAGTTTGCCCCGCTCCCGTACTTGAAGGAAGACCTGGACGCGCTCCTGCCCCTCTTTCGCCGTGACATGGACTTCCGCAACCTCGTCATGAAGACTTTCCAAGTGATTTTTCGTCCCGACAACGTCCTCGCCGTCACGTACAACCCGATCTTTGGCAAGTTGTGGCGGCTGTGCTGCCGCCAGCGACTGGACCCACGGTTGGACGATCTCACCACCCAGCTCGCGCAGTGCGTGCCGAAACTGACTGGCCCTGCGCTAGCCCATGTCCAGACTTGGCTAGACGAGTCGTACAACGACACGCAGCGCATCCGAGAGGCCATCGCCACGTTGGAGCCGAATGGGCCATGCTTCACCCTGGACAGCGGCACCATCTCCACGTCCAAGGACAACTTGCGGTCGCTGGCGCGCGCGCCAACGCCCGGCGTGTTAGCGAGCACCCAAGCGATTTTGACGTGGATACAGTACCACGACATGACCCCACCGCACGTCCAGAGCTTGGATGACGACGCTGACGTCAAGTTGTTACCTGTGGCACTCGCCGACGAAGACTTTTTTTCGTTTTTGCCGAACCTCATGTTCCCCGGGTTGACCCTGAGTCGTCGGGGCGCGGCGATCGTAGCGCTGGTGTGCTGCCTCTCTGACCACGTCCACCTCCGGCACCGCGCTGAGTCGTACTTAAAGGCCATCGAAGGCACATGGCTCCCATTCGAGTACGCAGTAGAGTTCCCCGAGATCTTTTCGGCCGAAATTGTGGAGCTCCTGTACCGTGGCCGTGCCTACCTAACCCCCCTTGAGCAGCACGTGTACAGCAAGCTGTTTGTCATCCACCGCATGCGCCTTGCTGCGACCAAGCAGATCGAGGCGACGGTCGGCTTCACCCCGAAAAAGGACGACTTTTGGCCAGACCGGAAAGCGCCGTGCCTGACGTGTGGTTACGACACGAGCTTGTCTCTGATGGTGTCCCCGATCCTCTGTGCCATGTGCGTAACGTACGGTGGCGACGCACCCGCCCTCCAAGCCAACACATTTGTGGCTGGCAACGAATCCCACATGGTGGCGTGCCATGACTGCCACGGCATTTACGCGGTGCTGCAAGTGGCCCAGCTCGGGACAGCGGCCAAGTGCTGGTTCTGCCGCACCAACGTGCCTGGCCCGCCACCCAAGACATCCTGCACGGGTTGCTTGAATGAGTACATCGATCCTGCTGGCCTATATCGGTCCAGCGCCCCGGACAACTCGTGGCTGTGCCCGGTGTGCACCGACGCCCCGACCCGCGCCAAGACGACAGCCACCACCACCGTTCAAGTTCTCACCATGGCCAACCCCGACGTGGCCGTCGTGCACGGCTGGACGGCAGAGAAGACCAAGGACGCGTTCGTGGAGCTGGTGTACCATACCCCGCACGACTCAATGTTTAAAATCTTCACCCAGAAACGGACGGTCCTCGTTGCGGGCCCTACTGCGAATGGCTTTTCCTCCAGCCAAGGCGCCGATGTGACGATTCGTTTCGACGGCAAAATCGTTCACCAGGCACGCCAACTGTGCCAGTCCTTTAGCACGATAGTGCTCCCAGACAGCCTGCGCGACGTGTGCAGCATGTGCTTTTACGAGCTGCCACTCGTGGAACTCACCAGCGCCTGCGGACGGTGCTTGACCAAAGTGTGCGATCCGTGCCTGGCGAAATGGTACGGCGCTCCCAAGCCGGGAAAGCTGATCGTGCCGGCCATGCTTTCTTGTGCCTTTTGCCGCCGCCCCCCCACGCTCGGCGTCCTTCGCAAACACAACCGCGAGTTGCTCTCGCTCAAGGTCGACAAGACGGCGGCATTTCGTGACCCAAACATGCACTATGGTTGGTGCTTGGGCTGCTTTCGCATCAAGGGCATGATTGCCCGAACGAACGACTCCCCGATTGACGAGGAAGCGTTCGTGTGCGGCGACTGCAAGACCGCCCATCCAACTCCTGACGAGTGGGTATTTGTTGCGACCAAGCAGTGCCCCAACTGCCATGCCCCCACCGAAAATCACGGCGGATGCGACCACGTCACCTGTATCTGAAGCCAGCACAGGTGCTCTCAGTGTGCGACGGGGTTCGACGATGCATAAGTCATGTACGACCACTTGTACACAACCCACAACTTCGGCGTCCATGATGCCACGTTGTGATCAATCATATTAAGTAGATTTATATCGTCTCCGTGAGCTGAAGGTGTTAGCGGTGGTCCGTTAGAAACTTTGGGTTCAATCAAGAACGCTACTAGAGTAAAGACCAACGCACATGAGCAAAATCGATGACTACAACGCCTTCACCACCACGGTATCGCGGCGATTCCATCGGGAGATACCACGAAGGCTCGTTTCTAGCAAAGACCCCCAGACCTTATACACCTCCGAGACTCGATGACCAGGACCATGGTCCGGGCATTGAAGACCGACCCAAGGACGGAGATCCTTCAACCGTCAACCGACGATGCAGTAGAACTTAGAGCTTTAGAACTACAGCTACAACCACACCTTTAACTAACTCGACTTTACATTTTGCCTCGAACTCCACACATGGGCTTGAGTTTCCCTGTTTGCCCGCGCCGCGCCTACCCATCGAAGTGTCATAAAACCCCGTGACAATTCTGGTGGAGCAGCAGGGTAGGCATTTGCAACGGAATCAAGGAAGAAATGTCGACGGAATCCTCAACTGAAGCCAGCAAGGCTACGCGTTATTCCCGCCGGTTGGCAGGACTGGCTCCCGAGACTGGGAGCCTGGAACGCGTCGCCCCGGACGAAGACTGTCGCCCCGGCCGACCACCATGGCTCGGCAGGACTGACGATCCCGCCGCCGGAACGGAAGCGCGAAGCCGACGGCTCACCGAACGTGTCACCTCCGACAGACAGGACGGACACACGCTCGGCCCCAAAGAAGCTGGCGGTCATGGCGGAAGAAGTCATGGCACCTGAAGACTTGGGTGAAGACGTCGAGGATGCCGATAATGAATACCAACTTTGCCTGGCGAACCCAAGTCCGGCTCCCGGAAGCACCTCTCTGGTCCAAGACGTCACTGGTGGCCCGGGTTCGTGGATACCTACCTCAAACGATCCTGGTATCTCCGTGGTCGCGACGCTGGTGGTGATCAATGGCGGAGACCAAGAGCTCGGACGGGCTTATGGAGACAGACGACGACGTTTGAAGTGAACCAGAAGGTCGAGGCCCAGCGGTTCCTGAAGCAGTTCAACGACGAGAGAGCTCGACTACTGGACGACAAGGAGAACCGTCTGGTCGGGATGGCTGAGGAACTGCAGCGAGCTGTGGAGGCCCACGAAGATCGTCGCCAGGATGACTACCAGAAGGCTCTGGTGTACCTACGGGAATGTTATGACCGTGAGCTGGAGCTAGCGCGCTCGCATGCGAAGACTGAAGCGACGGCGGTCCTGCATGAAGAAGTGAAGAGACTTGAAGACTCCTGGAACGCCGGGATGAATCAAGTCACGAAGCGACTCAACTTTGACTGGGAGACG